TTTCTTTCAGCACTCCCGCCTTCCTTGGGGGTGAATTGCCTTAAAAAAAATCTGCCTGAGAGAGACAGATAGACAGAGTGGGGGAAAACAATTCGTCACCCACAAGGGCTCTGAAACACTTTTGAACTCTATCGAAACTGGAAAATGAGGTCTGGGAAGCTTCTGCCTAAATATGAAAGCAGGATACCATTTGTCGGCATTGATCTGTCTCTTGTAGAGATCACATGAGGGCTTTGCTGTCCCCATCAGCAAATTCGTTGGTTATTAGCTGATTATCTCTGCTTCTTTTCTATTCAATATGCCCTGTGAGTTTTAAATTATCCAAGCCTACTTTCCTCATTATGTGCCACCAAATCACTTTTGATACTTACCACCCACTTCCTTGTAGTCCCTTTTCTCCTTAAAACAGCCTCGGTGCTGATGCTTTTTACATGGTATTCTCAGTGTTCCTTTAGTAGAAACACATGTTTTACAAAAGCGATCTTTGCTTAAAAATAAACGCTACTAATGCTATCTAAGAAAAAAAAAAAACAAAAAAAAAAACGCTGATTTTTCGCCAACCGAATGTGTTTTCTTTAACTTCGAAAATAAGACGCTTATACAATATTACAAAATAAAAAGTTTCGTTATTTACACTATTTACATTCGGACTATTGTCCTCATCTTTATTGTTACCATCACAACGTTTCGGTCGTTCTATCCTCCGGCTTTCATCAGGTGTATATCGATCTGGGTAACCTGCAGGGAATTATTAAACTGGACGCTTTGTTTTTTTAATCTACGGGGTTAGACTGTTCTCGTTCTTGCAGGTTTATAGTTCATTGTTTTTAGAAAATCAACGTTGCACTCAATGTGAAAACTAAGGTTTTATGTAATAAGTATTGCCAATGAAAATTAGATTCATAGCTTTTACCAATTTTTGAGCATTTAATTTAAAAATCGTCTGAAAAATTCTACTTAATTTCTAAAGGTTATTGCTTACAAACTGACTTAATTTTTTTTTCGATTTTAAGAATAAATCCTAATAAAGTTTATATCTTTTGAATTACATACATTTAATGGAAAATATATTCAAACTAGAATTCTAATTAGGAATCATCACAAGCGAAATATGCAGTTTTTGACTGTATTTGATAAGTAAATGTGTAAATCAGTTGTAAAAAATTATAAAAATGGCTACTCAACGAATAAGATTTGTTAGATTATTTGTTAGATCACAATTAATAAAATACAAAAATAGATAAAAGTGTCTGTCTATATTTCTGAGATGATGTTATGCACACCATTTACATTATTCGGACTATTGTCCTCATGTTATGCCATATTTATCACAACGTTTCGGCAGCTGTATGCTCTGGCAATCTTCAGGTGATTGGAATGTCGAACTGAACCCTTTATTTCGTTCGTTAGTTCCACTCATTTCAATTACCTCTTTTAATTCTCCTCTCCAAGTTCTCCACCGCTTTCGCCAGGTATTGAACTCACACTCTTGTTGAGTCCTGTCACTGAATCTAACAAACGCCTTTATCCACTGTGCCATGTGACCTTGAGGACATCTGTGCTTGAATTTCTGGGTATTATAAACCTAATGTTTTAGGAACCCTCTTTTACCATTGCTCATATTGCAATTTTTGCTGTTATAATTTAATTTTTTTACCAGAGCTCATATTGCAATTTTCTTTGTTATTATTGTTTTTCTCTGGCACTCCTTATTTCTGGTTCCTATATTGTATTATTTCTATGCTTAGTCGGCTCATTCCAACGACCTGAAGAAGGCTGGAACGTACAACGACTGAAACGTTGTGATAAATATGGCAACAAAGATCAGGACAATAGTCAGAATAATGTAAATAGTGTAGATAAAAGTGTATATAACACATCAATATTGCGGGCCACAAATTATCAAAGTATTTTAAATTTTCATTGCTTCTTGAAAATCACTAATATCACTTTAACTACTGCACAGTATAACTTATTACATCGTAATATAGTTAAATTGTTCTGTATAATTTCCATGATGAAAAGTAAATGAAAGTCTTATTTGATGCCATCGGTGTTTCTCAACCGGTCCCGCCCTTGCACACTAATACGATCTGAAAGGTAGCTAGGTGCAAGTTACCAGAAAAGTAATTTATGAATTATTTTTATATTTAAAAAATCTTTATCTTTAAAAAAAGCTAAGAACACACCAAGTACATGGCTTTCATGTCTAAGTCAAGTCTTTGTTATTTGATATTTTAAAATGGATTCTAAATTCCTTAATCTTTAAGGAGTGGATAATCATTTTTCATTTGACTTCCTCAAGAAACATAAATCGGTCATTATCGGCCTCTCAAAAATAACAGTTTATTCATAAATCCCTTTAAATGAATACTTTACCCCCAGTCCAATCGTTTTTGGGAATGCTAAACCAAAATTTTATATTCTCAAATTTTATGATTAATTTCTCTGTATTAAAATTTAAATTGCGCCCCTCCCACGACATTTAATCGTTTTACAAGTGTAGGTTGAGAAACAATGGATGGCACAAGGATTTTAGTAATAATGTGCGTTTGCCTTTCTTCTTGTCCATATACAGTCTGCGAAGCTTCAGTTGTTAACTGACGTGCTCTTTCCACATCTTGCGAATGTACAGTTGGTAACTCCAACATCGTTTTATTTATTAGAACATCTTGCATCTCATTATTTAAAAGACATTCTTCAAACACAGGTTCACAAATTCCATTTTATGAGAGCTTAATCAAATTTGTCCAATGTTTCAGAATTGATGAATGTAACTTTTTAAATCTTTTCTTTGGTGGCTCGCTATTTCTGAAACAAAAAATAATTGTATTTGAAAACTTACCTATAATTGTTTATATTATTATGATATATCTATAAGTCTCAAAATGTGTTTTTGTATGTATGTATGTATGTATGTATGTGTGTGTGTGTGATCTGAGTTGTTTTTGCGTTTCCATAGTTTTCATCTAATTTCGATGATTTTTTTTGTTTGATAGTTAATATTTCAGTGTCGATTTTGAGTACAAATTGGCTGGAAAAAATTACAACCTTGAAGGTGACAAAATCGAAAAAAAAAACTGATTTTTTACACTTTGCGCAAAAATCAAAGGCAACAATTAATGTCTTATATAATTCACGTCCTAAAGCTAGTGGCAGATTTTGTTCTAGGTGCGGGCTGAATACTAATCATATTCGGTCGGGTCGCCCATCGAAGAAGTCTGTTGTTTATTTAGACCCGAAACTTCTAGTGACATGGGAGCAACAACACTGACGACGCATCTAGATTCGGCACTTAAAAGTGTATTTTAATAATAATGTAAAGAAACAGCGTACAATCAATTTAGAGAGGTGAAATCTAACGCAAACGATTATTAGAATTATAAAAAAAAAATTATATTATAAATTAAAATCATCGTATATTATTATTATGACGGTCTATGGAAGAAGTTCCTTCCTTAGATGATTGAGAACGCAAAAACGGTACTTTTCAGTCCCCACTTCAAATAGCTAACACCCCATTTGGGAATGTGCCTCAGTCACACCCAATTGTTGTTACTAATATTGATTTTTGAGTGGGCTGACTTTAAACTTAAACTGCTCCAATTGAATGACAAAAATGCCCAGTAATGAAAGACCCGGTCGAAGGCGGGTTATACTGCTAGTTTTTAAATAAATTTTAAAATTAGTCTTGTAAATTGACATAACTAATTAAGTTGAATTGTCTATATATAGTTTCTGTTCTCGCACTTCTCGCTTGCGGAATTCCCTTCCAGTCACATGCTTTCCAGCCAACTTTAAGCTTCAAATATTTTAAATGCAATGTCAATCGCTATTTGCTGTCCTCCTGATTACTTTTCTTCAGTACTCACTTCTTGGTAGTGGTTCTTTTATCTAATCTTCCACACCAAGTAACCCCTTGTGTTTCAGGAGCTTTAATACCTTGCTCGGGATGAACTTGATTAAAAAAAAAAAAACATAAATAAACGTTTACTTATCTATTTGACAAAAAAGTTTCATAGCCTCTTCCCATACCCCCAATTCATCTGACTTTAATATCGAGAAAAGAATAATTTCTGGAAGAAAGTTGAAAGAATTGTGCTGGAAATTCTTTTAATGTAACATTCTTTGTTTTGGTCGACTATCTTCATGTTGAATATATACAGTTTTTGGTTATGGAGTTTATTATACGATTTAATTTAAAACCAAATGCATATATTTAAATTATAGATTTTATAAGTTTGTACTATCAGGCGTTCAGTTATAGCCGAAATTAAATTCCAACGGTCCTATTTTGAACTTAAACTTAATATTTAAACTCATTTTCTCAAAAAAATTTAATGGTTTTGAAAAAAAATATTTTGTGATATTATTTATGTCACAGCCTAACTTTCAAATTGAGTGTAGTACCACGATAAACCATTCCATTGAGTCCAAGCACACACTGTATATATAACCAGATTTTATTGGTCGTCTCCTTAATGTCGGCACTGCGAAGTGAGCCACACATTGTTGTCCTTCTTGAGATTGACTAATAATTTGATCCCTTTCACTGCAGGTATAATGTTAAAGAGGGTAGCATTTCTACATATAAAGATTGGTAATCATGATTTTTATTGATAGAATGGAGCCATTGTGCACGTGTTGACTTTTTACAACTCTCTATTGACATAGAAAGATGTATGTGTTATATTGGAAAGCAACTTGGATAGTCGACGTAATTGGAGCTGCGTCGTTCACAAAGCAAATATTTTCCCAAATATAACTTTAACTTTGCGTAAAAATATATTGACACAGACTTTTTGCATTGTAATTCTAGCGAAATAAAAGCGTCTTCAAGATGCACTTGAAGAGTCTTCTTTTAAAATATCATCTTCCATTTTACCAAATGCATTTTACAAAAGATTGATCAGCACGAAAGGAAGTATCTTAACAAGAAGCATTTACAATTACAGGAGGAAAAAAGCTGGTACAGTTAATTTCCTTCTTGTTCACAGCACATGTTTTTTTTTCTTTCTTTCTCCACGGTGTCATTTCTTACAATTCATTTCATATTTTACTTGTTAGAATCAAAAACAGCTCAGAAGCGACTGACAAAAAGATGTGCCAGTCACAATTCAGTCGTAGCATAATAACAGTAAAAACAGCACCCAATCCTTAAATATATTCAGCCTTTTATTTCTTTCACGAACACTTGATCAATAATGTTTTGTCACCGACGAGGCGAAGCCAGCTTGAGGCATTTTGAATATGCTTACCATTGTGAGCGAAATGAATATGACAAGTGGGAAGTCCAGAAATCGCTTACAAGGAGCGTTCATAAACTATATCAATGAATGTGCCGATGAAGAATAATTCATTTGCTGCATTATACACTGATTACAATTGGCAATTGATGCATAATTTAAGCAAATATAGAGTAGCATGAAAATGAAGCATTTATTTAGCGCGTTCAAGGAATGGACTGATAGGCTAAAAGCTATTTTATTATTTATAAATCGGGTTGAGTCGGCAATAATTTCTTTTTTATCGGTCTATATTTCTGAGATGAGGTATTATGTACACTATTTACATTATTCGGACTATTGTCCTCATCTTTATCGCCATATTTATCACAACGTTTCGGCCGTTGTACGCTCCGGCCTTCTTCAGGTGGTTAGAATGTCGAACTGAACCCTCTATTTCGCTCATTGGGGTAGACTGTTCTAGTTCCACGTGCCATGTCTAATGGATGTCAGTTATTTCCTGTTAATTCTCCTCTGAAAGTTCTCCACTGCCTTAACCAGGTATTGAACTCACACTCTTTGGGTCCTGTCACTGGATCTAACTAACGCCTTTATCCACATGGCACAGTCGATAAAGGCGTTGGTTAGATCCAGTGACAAGACAAAGAGTTCAAGTTCAATACCTGGTTAAGGCAGTGGAGAAATTGGAGAGGGGAATTAACGGGAGGTAACTGATAATCCATTAGACATGGCACGTGGAACTAGAACAGTCTACTCCAGCGAGCGAAATAAAGGGTTCGGTTCGACATTCCAACCAACTGAAGAGGGCCGGCGCGTACAACGGTCGAAACGTTGTGATAATTATGGCGACAACTATGAGGACACTAGTCCGAATAGTGTAAATAATTTCTTTTTTGCTCATCAATTTCATTCTTCAAAACATAAATTACAATTACATTTTATTCAATTATATATTCACTATTATTCACAGTGTCTTGTCATTGATAACTTTTGGCTATAATTCTATAACTTTTTATCTGAATAAATTATCGACAAACATTTTTTAATCATTTCACCCCAAGCAAAGGCGATAAAGCCACTAAGACATAAGGGGTTACTGAGAGTTAAAGACAATGAAAAGATCTCTCTATATTTCTGATTATATTTTTTTTTTTAACTATTTACATTGTTCAGGCTCTTGTCTTTATCTTTGTTCCATATTCATGACATTTCGGCGTTTTACGCTCCGGCCTTCTTCAGGTGATACACGGTGAAATTTTGAACCAAACTTTTTATTTAGTCCACTGGGGTACTTTCTTCTAGTTCCACGTGTCAGTAATTCAACTCTTCAAATTTTTGTTCACTGTGACCAGGTATTGAACTCACAACTCTTTGGGTCAAGTCACTGGATTACCTCAACCAACTTTTTTATCCACTGAATATGACAATAAAGATGAGAACGTCTGTCTGAAGAATGGGAATAGTTTAAATAGAATGAGAAGACTTTAGTTAGGAGAAAGGACAATAAAAGAACGAGGTTTAGGATTTGAATTGGTTTTCATTCGAGAAAGTTTTCTGCTTTTTTTTATTGTTCTCGCTTTTTAATAAATTTCTTTTTCATATATTTTTTCACACTCAGTAACACTCCCTCTGCATCTTAGTGGCTTTACTGCCTTGCTTGGTATGAGATTATTTAAAACGTAAGTGTTTTTGTTTAATGTTACTTAATTCTTTAAGAAATATTATTTTAGATGATGGCATTAATTTAGCTTTTTGGTTTAAATTGTTCATGACAACAAATTTATATCTTTCAAGACGTTCACTTTTTATAGTTTCAGAGGCAAAATTTGGATTGAGATGACTTTCTATATGGGAAATTGGTAAAATTATGTTAGTTATCCTTTCCACTACTCTCTTGACTCAGCGAGGGTGTGTAGCACGTGTTGTGGCGCAGTTGTAGCTCAGTTATTTTAGAAAACAGATACCGAAGAACTATCCATTTACGGAAATCCAAGGTTAATACAGTTTTCCTTTTTCCCATATTCTTTCACACTGAGTAACCCTTTGCGTCTTTCTTATGGTTTAATTTAAATTAAAACATTTACATTATGTACATTGTTCGGACAGTTGTCCTCATCTTTATTGTTATATTCACGACGTTTAAGCCGTTGTACACTCCGTCTTTTTACAGTTGTTATACGTTGGAATTTTTAACCGAACCCTTTAGTTCGTCTCCCGGTGTAGATTGTTCTAGTTCCACGTGCCATGCCTCTTCCGGAGATCTCATTTTCATTTGTCTACCTTTTAGTAACTCAAAAAACTTTTAGCAATTCAGGTGATCACCCTTTCCAACGTATATCACCTGAAGAAGGCCGGAGCGTACAACGGCCGAAATGTCGTGAATATGACAACGAAGATGAGGTCAATAGTCCAAACAATATAAATAATTTTACAATACCTCATCGCAGAAATATAGACAGATATTAAATTAAAATATTATTACTTTATTGTTATCTCTTCAACAGGAGAATGTAGCATTAATATAAATAGTGGTTTGGTGATGCTATTTAACACAAACCAAAATATGTATATATTTTTACATTGATGATTAAGTGCGTTGGGCGCCTACCGTAGATCAATAATGCAGTGGCCTTGTTAGGGCCAGAAATAAAGATACAAAGAGAGGAATTGAGTTAAATATATTAACAGAAACAGTAATACATAGATATACAAACGAGAGTGTTACAGCAAGAATGTTCGGTCCGAGTGCCAGAGCTGACTGCTGGAAACTTTCCTCAACAACAGGCAGTACCTGCTCCTATTTATAGCTGGGAGAGTCTATACGTGCGTGGGTAAATTACCATAGCAGATATAAAGTTATCTTTCATTCTCAAATAGAAGGGTAGGAACGATAATTCTTTATTGGATATCTATTTTCCAACCATCGAACCAGCTACTTTCCACCCCTTATATTAGACATTTATTATTGAAAATGATGCTTAGATTATTTTAAAATTCCAGCCACCCCTTTTATTCAGTCTATCTGAAACTCAAGCGTAGTCAAACAAACTATTTGCTTTTGTAACAATTTTGTGATTTCCGACTTTGGACAAACATGGATGGCTCCCGAACAGTTTCGTCCATTCAATTTGACTCATACCATTGGTAATGTTTTCAGACATTTCCCTACAGTGCTACACGCTATGAACGGCTCCGATGGCCGATCATGGGTACTCAAGAAAATTAGTCTTGTGTCAGAATATGTTTAATACATATTTATAATGCTATGTTCCCAAGTCATATTTAGAACGACTTTGTGAACAATGTTTTTAGGTCAGCACCGTCAATGGCGTCAATGTAACGGTTAGATAAATGTTGAACGGCTGCAGGTGCCGTTTTGCAATGAGAATCTGTCGTCAGCTGCTGTGGATATCATTAGCTGACCGATTTCCTAAGTGTCATTCTATACTCGTGTCGGGGACAAATTGTCAAGAACAATCCAAGCCGGTTGTAAGTTAAAACTTGATTATCTATTCACAGGCTGCTTTCAAAAAAATGCATGCAAAGGCTGCAATGAATGACGCAAAGTTAAAAGTGCATATCATTTGCTTATCATGACATATTTGTTCACTCCTGTCACTTTTTCTAAGAGAAATAGCAGCAGCTAGCGGATTCGACTGGAATTGCCTTTTTTTCCCCTTCACACACATTTGCTTAAAAATACATAACCAAATACATAAAGCAGCCGATTGACAGTTTTAAGTGTAGACAATTTTAAATTTGAAGATTCAAGTTATAAAATAATATATATATTCTATAATCATACAATCATTCCTGCCTGGGAAACGAGAAATCACGAGACTTTGAGTCGACCTTCGAGAAGTATCGTTAACGTTCATTACTATTCTATATAGCTATTGAGCACAGTATTATCAGAACATGTTTCTTCTTCTTCTTCTTCTTCTTCTTCTTCTTCTTCTTCTTCTTCTTCTTCTTCCTCCTCTTCTTCTTCTTCTTCTTCTTTGGTCTCTCCTAAAGCCTGTTCTATCATCTATTTACTCAGGTCGTAGATAGGTTAGGCGTTGTTGTCTCTGTCCCTCTCATGACCAATCTCTCTCGTGGGTATCAATTTTTCCAAACCCTCTTTCCTCATTATATATCCTAGATATTTCAACTCTCGTTTTCCGGTGTTAAGTATAAGCGACCTTCTTGTTTCAATTTCGTCTAAAACTTCGTCGCTGCTCAAATGTTCAGTCCATGGTATCCTCACTATTCTTCTGTAGAACCACATTTCTGTTCGTATATCTGTCTTCGCCTCTGACGAGATTGTCCGATATTCCCTGCCAAATAGGTGGACTGATATTACGAAACAGTTCATTACTCTGTTCTTCGTTTCTAACGGAATTTTCCTGTTTCTTAATACTTTGCTTAGCTTTTGTAAGGCATCTTGCGCTATCCCACTGCGCATTCGGAGTTCAGTGTCGCACTTTACGCTCTTTGTTAAAACACTTCACACATATTTAAATTGTTGTACTTGTTTGATAAACAATCTACCCCTGTGGAGGAAATAAAGGGTTCAGTTCAAAATTCTAATCCCTTGAAGAAGGCCGGAGCGTACGTATATCGCGAATATGGCAATAAGGATAACAACATTCCAAATAATGTAAATAATTACAATATCTCATCTCAGCAATATAGACAGATAAAACAAAATCTTGAAAATTACTCGCTTGCTTTTGTATTACAAGACTTTGAATTATGGAACTTTGTGTCCACCATATGTTTTAACATGTGTCCGCCACATGTTTTAACATGTTTTAACATGTGGCGGACAGAAAGTTCCATATCCTAACCAACCAACCAATCAAACAGTAGAGGACTCAAATTCAAATCGTAACTCTGAAGTTTTAGCGCCAAAAATTGTTGCAACAGAGGGAGAGAAAAGACAATGACATTAATAAAAATATATATATCGATTATTATTTAAAACAATTTTATTACCTCGGTTCTCGATTTCGTAGACAAGAATCCTGCAGTCATGAATCCATTTTCCCGCCTCAGACCAAACGTCCCTAATTGTCTGTAGATAGGCAAGCTGGAAGTGTATTTCCGCAAATCCATCGCGCAAAAGTCAGCAACGGAAACAAAAAAAATCTGTTATTAACAACTTTCATTTGTTGATTATTATAAAGGCTTTTAAAAATATGTTTTTAAGAGGAATATATTTTACGTTACACTGATATTTTATGTAACGTGCAATGTCATTAAAATACGTAAAAACAAATGACTCAAAGGTATGACAAGAAATAAAAAAAACTCCCATCCGGCACTTGTAGCCGGCTTAGAAGCGAATACTTCAAGCAAAGAAGCTGAAGTTCCTAAGAAAATTCCTATTTCGCTTCGAGCAGTGTCCCTGTTATGAAACCAGTAAAAAGATTGATTCTCCTTCCAAACAAAGAAATATGGTTGTGTTAAATTGATGCAAAAGTTCCCAGCGTCTGAAGTGTCTTTACGTCAGATCATCCCACGAGAGATGCAGGACGACTCAACACTGCGAATCAACGCCGCCAACTCAACGCCGCCGACTCAACACTGCCGACTCAACACCGCCAACTTAACGCCGCCGACTCAACACCACCAACTCAACGCCGCTGACTCAACACCACCAACTCAACGTCAGCACTACTTACCGCATGACCGACTGGATTATCAGTGAGGAAGCTGGCTGATTAAAAGAAACAGCAAAGGCGGGGGAACCTTTTTATAGGTTTAATGGTCATCGGGCACAGTTGGTAGACTGGGCTCCATAACTACTTATGCAGCCAAAGTGATGACGATACGGCATCGTTGGGCGGAGGCCCTTCCTAGAAATCAAAAACCAAGCCGAAGGTCCCCCTGATGGATTCAACGGCCTAGTGTTCTTGACCAAAGTTAGCTATTAATTGGAACACACACACACACACACACACACACACACACACACACACTCATCAACCTGTCTCTCTTTCTCTTTCTCATACGCAGTATTCTACGTCCATCTGACACACACACCAACACTAACACTCTTTCACACACACACTCATCAACCTCTCTCTCTCTCTCACACACACACACACGCATCCTCACTCTCTCTCTCACACACACACCTTTTTCTTTCACATGCACTATATTCAACCACTTTATCTCTCTCTCTTTCTCTCTCTCTCTCTCACACACACACACACTCATCCACCTCTCTTGTTCACACACACACGCACTCATCTTCACACACACTTGGTGCTCATAACCCCCTCTCACTTTCTCAATCTCTCTCTCTCACACACGCACACACAGACGCACGCATCTTCTGTCATCCACACATTCATTCTCATCAACTTATATCTCTCTCTCTTACACATACACACTCATCAACCTGACTCTCGCCCACACACTCATCTTCTCGCACACACACGCGTTCATCTCTCTCTCACACAAACACGTTCTTATCCTCTCTCTCGCACGCACGCACACGCACACGCGCACACTCTCTCTTTCTTTCATGTACGCACAATTCAACCCTCTCTCTCTCTCTCTCTCCCTCCCTACTTCACACATATCACATACCCTCACACACAATGGTTACTTAGAGATGGCCGAAGGGTGGAATGGCTGAAACGTTGTGATAACAAACAAAAACGAGGGAATTAGTTTGACTGCAAATTTAGTAAATAATGAAAATTCCTTATCCGAGAAATTCAGACAAAATTTGTTCTTTTTTTTACTCTAATTTTTCTTTTCTTTTCATTTTCTTTCTCACTTTCTTTTCCTTTTTCTTCTCCACCTTCTTTCTCATTTCCTTTTCTTTTCCTCCTCCCCTTTCTTTTCCTTTTCTTTCCTACTTTCTTTTTCCTTTTCTTTCCCTTTACTCTTCATTTTGTTCCCCGCCTTCTTTTCTTTTTTTTTCCTTTTTCTTCCCCACTTTCTTTTACTCTTTTTTTCTTTCCCACTTTCTTTTCTTTTTATTCCCCACTTTCTTCCTCACTTTCCTTTCCTTTTCTTTTTCTTTTATTTTCCTTTTTTCCAACTCTCTTCGTACTTTCCTCTTTTTCTCCTTTTAGAAATGAAAGTAATTGTCTTCCCAAAACCACTATTTCCTCGCAACACAACTCGTTCACCATTCATTCCCCCCCCCAACTTCTCTCAACCATTCATTCTTATTTCTACATTTCACCCTTTGACATAATTTACGCCCCATTGTCGCCCTCTCTCTCTCTCTCTCTCTCCCTCCCTCTCTCTCTCTCTCCTACTTTTTGACGCCTTTATTTTGACATGCATTGACGATATACGAGAACGCGTCCGTCACTGATAACTTCTTTTAAGCCCCCTTAATTTGGATCTCTTGGCATAAGATAACTGCTCTCGAAGAGATACTGCTATAAAGAATTCCATTTCTTGAATTGTTCTTATATATTATTTGGGTTTTATGTCTATATTTCTGAGATGAAGTATTATATACATTATTTACGCTATTCGGACTACTGTCCTCATCTTTGTCGTTATATTTATTACAACGTTTCGCTCTGAATGTTCACCACTGCCTTAACCAGGTATTGAACTCACACTCTTTGGGTCCTGTCACTGGATCTAGCCAACAGTTTTATCCACTGTGTCATGTGTCCTTGGAGAACTTTCAGAGGGAAATTAACAGGAGATAACGGATACCTGACATCCATTAAACATGGCACGTGGAACTAGTACGGTCTACCCCAGTGAGCGAAGTAGATGGGTGAGTTCGACATTCCAACCACCTGAAGAAGGTCGGAGCGTACATTGGTCGAAACGTTGTAATAAGTATAGCGACAAAAATGAGGACAATAGTCCGAATAATGTAAATAATGTACATAAAACCTCATCTTAGAAATATAGACATAAACCCCAAATAATATATAAGAACAATTCAAGAAACGGATTTCTTTATAGCAGGATCTCTTTGAGAGCAGTTATCTCATGCCATTTTTTTTTAAACAATATTTCAATAAAGAAAATAATCGATTTTTAATTAAGAAAAACGTTTACAATAGCTAATCAGTATCACTGATAAAGAAACAAACATTATAAAATATAATCTAAATATTATCTACATATTCTGTTGGCGAATATGAAGAATGTTTTCAGGCAATTGAGCACTTGGTGTTTGTTTGTCCAATCTTGACACGGAATGAATACGAAGAACGAAATGATAAAATTAGACATTATATTCATTGGAACATATGACAGTATCACAGTATGACCACTATATACAAATCAGTCCTGGGTATGGTGATAAACTATATCCAGCATCAAGGCACATGATTGGGAAATGGGATGTTTTGAGAAGCCTGGAACAATCTCTTATTTGCTGTTGTTCCCAGGTCCACCCTGATCATGGGGTGGCAGCATCTGTTAGGGTCCCAGTTATGGGCAAATAGTGAGTCCCCCACCAAAAAACACTATGAAAGTATTAAAAAATTTTCATATAAAAATACCAGCAATACATTTTTATATAAAAAAGACAGACAATACATGACCAACAATTTATCTGTAGTTGATTGCGTTCAAAATATATTTCGTTGAAGCCATAAAAATGTTCAAATTATTTACATTTCGACATTAAATGACACACAGAGGTGTTGATATGCCTCTAAACAAAATCAACCAACCTGAACTTCCATGACATTAATCCTTATAATATCCTATAATTTCTTAAATCGAATGATGTCCACATAAACATGTACATGAACAAAATCTGAGTATCATCTACCATGTATGCAATTGTGAAAGCAGGATAACATTTTTTATTACTTCAAAGCTCCTAAGATAATTCAATTTGGTCATTAAATGACCCATAATAAGTTGATATGCCGTTAAACAAATCAACTAACATATACCAATCGCAGAAGGCTGTGAAGTGACTATTCTTAACCATTTTATTAATCAAACTGACAAACCTATAAAAGTTAATAGACCAAACAGTAATTAAAGACTACAAAACGAAAACAAAGTTACATTCTCATTGATGCGGTAGCGTTAAGAATAATAACAAAACAACAATGTCCATTACTCAACGCAAACGTTCAATCTATTTATATGTAACATCAAACAACTGGATATATGAGTGTGTGTATGCGCGTGTGCGTGTGAGTGTGTGACTATCTGTTAGTTTTATTGCTTCCGTATATCTATCCACAACATTGAGATCTCTATAAATAGAACAAATATCACTCAAAGAAATAATAATAATAATTAATAAATAAAATGTTTACATATCTACTCGGTGTTATTTTTATTATTATTATCAACATTATTATTATTACTATTATTATTAATAATAATAATAATAATATTAATAATAATAATTGCCTGTCGTTCGATATCGGCCACTGAAATAAAAAAGAAGCTTGGTCAAAATACATTAGGTTCCAGAAATACCCTGGCTGACTGTTTTTTAGCGAAACATAATTATACACACACACACACACACACACACACACACACACACACACACACACACACACACACACACAGATATTTATATATTATATATTTATATATATTTATATCACTTCAACTGAAGCAAGGTGATAATGCCACTAAGACATAACACGCTACTGAGAGTTAAATAGAATGAAAAAGACTTTAGAAGGAACTGGAAACGCAGTCCTAAATATGGAACAAGGGATAATTCTCTACTTTTGTTCAAAAGACCGGGTATATATATATATATATATATATATATATATATATATATATATATATGATTATTATTTATAAAAAATTATAACATAAGTATGCTATAAAATCACTACAAAAATAGCCATTTTGTTTCAACACACTCAGTGTCTTATCAAGTGATGATGTTGAAAATAAAATAAATGGTTTTAAAAAGTTTCAGATTAATTAACGATCCTACACTAGGGGGAAACATTGTTACAAAAGCTAGAATAGCCAATCAAAAACCAAGTATAGAAAGATTCAAAAGCTTGACAACGAAATCATGTTATAATAGCTATTCAGATCTTTAAAATACGTGTAATATTAAAAATAATTTATACTAACCAATAATTATAAAATTATATGATAAAATTTAATATTAAAATTAAAAACTGGCAATTTTAAAATCCAAATTTAATCACTATATTTTTAAAAACTACAAAATTATTGAGAAAAGAAAAAATACATATGTTATTCAATTTATTTCTTCGTTGAAATTACGTTCGACAAGACGCTACAATATATCCGGTCATTTGACAATACATGTATATATATTTTTATTCTAAAGTTTGTTAATGTGGTCTTAAACTCACGCGCAAAACAACAAAAACACAATCAGATTATAATACATAAGCACCCAGACATATATATACACACAAAAGAAAGGCGACGAGACAGGAACATCTCTACAGCCCTTTATGAAAAAATGGAAACGGGGAAACCAACACCTATACAGACACACAATTAAATGTGAATGCACAGTACATACACATAGACACCGATAAATACACGTACACACATCCACAGACAATGACATAGACAATCAGATACCACAACCAATAAATATTTCAGACTTAAAGTATCATTAAATAAATGCTAACCACTTATCAAATTATAACTTCAGGGAGCAAATATACAAAGATAAAAATGGTTAAAAATAATAACGGTTTCCCTCACCACCTTATAGGCCACCAAATTAGACTATTTCTCCCCAAAGCAATTAATAACGATAGCGAACACACAGCCAAAAATCACATAAACATTTATTACAAAAACCAAATGCATATTAATTACAAACAAGACGAATCTTCGCTAAGGCATATTATAAAGAAATATACTACTCCAATTGATCCGAATAAAAAAATAAAATTTATTATCTATTATAAAAAATTTAAGACAGCCAACCTTATCCTCAAAAATAACAATACACCAACTAAGTTGAAATTACAAAGAACCAACATTATCTATGAGTTCAAATGTCCCTTAAGGAACTGTGTTTCTGATCAAACTGGACTCATAAATAATTACATCGGCTACACAACCACATGCTTATCCAGACGTCTTACGTTACACCTATCCTATCACAGCTCCATTAGGGCCCATTTAAACACACACAAAAATTTACCAGACTCCATTAGGAACATACTAGTAGAAAACACAAATATATTTACTACATCCACCTGCAAAAAAAGACTAAAAATAATGGAAGCTTTAATAATAAAAAAAGAAAAAGCCAACTCTTAACAATATTAACTACGAACAAAGCCACAATCTGCTAACCGTATTCGGAAATTAAAAACATCCCTACCACACACTAAGACATACACAGAACGCACACACTCAATTAAGATGAAAAATCGAATCATTTTTTATAATGGCTAAAGGTATAGCCGAAAGTGCTCAGAAATATAAAACATTTGGCCAGTTTTTACACACCCTTTGTCCAGAAAAGAAAGCTCTTGTTAGAACACAGGAAAAATTAAATAAAAAGCTTAACCGTAGTACCTTGTCTGTCGTTTTTAATGAAACGTGCATAAAGGAAGGATTGCTGCCTAAATATGCAACTATATATACATATACATATATATATATATATATATATATATATATATATATATATATATATATATAAATGACTGGTGGGTGTTCCAGATGATGCTAATTTCCCTATCCTCTACTATTTTTCCTAAGATTTTCGAAACTGTTCCCAGTGTTCTGGTGACGATTTGCACTGTCTTACGTACCTGTGTTTTCACTCTTTCTCTCAGGCTTATTTTATACTTTCTATTTCTACAATTATATTCACTGTCTAGCATTTGATCTTCTTTATTACTACCACATCCGGTTTTCTGACCAGATTTCATCATCCTAATCCGGTAGGAGATCCGTTTAAATCTCAAATTTATTTTAATCATTTTGGTCAGCAACGTCTGACCTAAATAGAGAATCTATCATGGGATCTTAATATGAATTTGTTTTAGTTTTCTGTCTCTTTTTTCATCATGGCGTCATTTCCGGTTTTTCTCTTTCGTCAATTCGCTTTCTTTCTTATCTCATCTATTTCTCTTTCTGTCTGTCTGCCTCTCTGTGCCACGGCTTTTTATTTACTCTCATCCTTTTTTAAATGTTTATCACGTCCTTATCTTTTTGTTATTCTATTTCTCATTTATTTTAAAACAGCAATCAATCAGACGACAGGAAAAGCCAAGAAGGTGCAAATTTACCGGATGCAAAACGGAAAGACTGTTTTTTTATTATCTTATCTATTTAAATTTTTATTTAATATATTGATATTTGCTTTCCTCTGTACTCAACTGGCCGCGTCGTTGGCACCAAAAATCTTAACCTTATCGTCGATCTGTGTATATTCTGATGCGTATACATATGAGGAGATACTCAGCTATGGCTACTGCGCGTGCGCATTTGCAATCTAAATTATGAGCATAATTCAAATGCTTTATCTTGATAAAGCTAGAAATAGGAATAATTCGTCGTAAAAAAAAAGAAGTTATATATCATTTAGTGGCCGCTTGAGTGATTATCTTTGAATTTAAAAAGAGAGGTTCAGTCATAATTCTGCATACATAAAGACATATAAAGAGAGAGATTATATTTGTTGTACGTTTGAAGCAGAACAATTACTCGGAAGTTAGTCGCGGGGTCTGTTCGCTGGTGCAATGAATCTGAACCCTAGAGAGTCTCCCATTCATCTAGGTTTGCTTTAGACTAAGCTTAATGTATGTTTGAACACATATATAGACACACGAACAGAGCAATATATATATATATATATATATATATATATATATATATATATATATATATATATATGGTTGTTTCGTCCGATATTTGGGACTCATCAGTAGTGCGCATCTACTACCGAGAAATGAAACCTGAACAGTTACGCTATCAGGAAACCGTCATACGAACTGTACCAACTGGCTTCGGTGACGAAAAAGTAGCGAATTAGACTCGATATATCGCCGCTCGATCATATATTCCGTGGTGAGATTATAGTTGTTTAAATGATGCAATATATATATATAAACTATTATCACCAGTCCAAGAAAGCCATTTGAATCACTAGCACGCAAAAAATTCATTTTCATAATATAATAATTTTATATCGGCTCTTTGCTTGAAGAAGGTTTGTTATAGTTACATCACAAAATCCATTAAAAAAAAGAAAAAAAGAAAAGAGAGACGCTTCTCCGTAAGCCTCTTTCTGGTTAATGTAAATTTCCTCTATACTAAGAGTCTTTTTTTTCTTTCCACGTTGACAATATAGTTAAATTCCCACATTAATTTTTTTTTAATTTTTTAAATGTAATTATAACAACAAAATTATTTCGATTTCATTTTTGGCTTGAAAAATTCGGAAGACGAAACGCATCGGCAAAAAAAAGATTTTTTTTCCAGTTGTTTTCTTATAACAATTTGTCTTGTCCACAGAATTGATCTGAGAATTTAACTACATATATATATATATATATATATATATATATATATATATATATATATATATATATATATATATATATATATATAAAACGAAACTGTTATCTATGTCTATGTATTGATGATGTCAAAATAAAGCAGGTACAGGTATTTTGGTAGTGTAGTAACAAACGACGGAAAATGTGACTCTGGAAGCCCAAAAAATAACGAAAGATGTCTTCAAGAATCTAAATAAAATATGAGGAAATTGGAATATATTGATAGAAACAAAAATGAGTGTGAACTAATATGCAATACTTGAGAATCTTGGGAAATCTTTTTATTGATGATGAAAAGAATTCAAGCAACAGAGATATTTTACTTATTAATGTTAAGACAAAAATTAAATAAAAATAAAACAAATTATAAATAATTAATCAAATCAAATGAAAAAATAAATAATTAATTAATCAAATCCAATGCCATCATAATAATTAATCTAAATAAAAATAAATGACCGGTTTCACTTCTTTTCTACATTCCTTGAGCGCCTCTAGAATAGTGCAAGAAGGATCTCTCACAAGAAGCAATGTGTTAGAAAGGCGAAATGCTTAATGAAAACTAGTTTTAATTAAAAGTTTTCCATTTGTCAAATTTCTTTAAAAAATTGTCGGAATATATATCCTCTCTCTCTCTCTCTCTCTCTATATATATATATATATATATATATATATATATATATATATATATATATATATATATATATATTTGAAAAGATTCTTACAGGTACAAAATTTTATTATGGCAAGGAATGTAAAGGGCATAATTATGAAAACTAAGAACTAAAACAAACAACCGGTTTCGTCCCAGTACTCCTCAAGTTTGATACACTGGGATTATTTAATCATAAACTTAAAAACAAAAAAACCATTCAATGAGGGGGAAAGGGAAAAAAAAAATTTATATATGATAGAAAGAACTAGAGCCCAATCACATTCAAGCCCAACAAACAATCTCTCTGCTTACAGAGAAACGGCCTACGGGACTTGATGTAAATGGACTCAAGAACCTTCAAATGATATGCAGAGTGTGACTTCGCCAGAATGGAAAAACAGTCAACACTCAAACCAGCAACACATTCCATGCTAGTTATAGCGTGTTCCGTTATAGATGACCCGGATGTATTCACTAGTTGGCTTTTGTTAGCGGCCGGATTTAAAATTCTGGTGGGTAAATGTTGTTTCTCAAATCCAAACGCTAAGACGTTCTGCCTATGTAGTCACATCCGCAACCACATTTAAATTTATATATAACTGAATTAATATGAAAGGGAGGCAGAAAATCCTTGCGCCTGGAAGAAAGAATTGGTCGAGTAAAAAATATTACTCGCACATTAGCAGCATAAAAACAGTTACTAACGGAATGTGAAATTCGCCTTGCTAGTTTTTCACCTTCTCTGCCAATGTAAGAAGTCGTAAATAAATTGGACATTTCTTAACAACATACGGTCTATCCTTACTAAATTTATCAATGACATCATGCATAATGGAATCCAAAATGTCCAACGGATACCCATTTTTAGAAAGAGTCATTTTTATAAAGTCCAATTCACCGTCGAGGAAGGAATTTGAGCAAATTTTAAGAGCTCGAAAAGTCAACGTTCTAATATATATATATATATATATATAAAAGGCAGGATGTGTGTGTTTGTGTGTGTAACGAATGCACGGACGCAATTTTTGACAGATTTGCACCAAAATTTACATGCACATGCTCCAAGTTAGTGGAAAAGCCAAGACCGACGTTGCATTTCCCAACTCCCATCGATAGTGGAAATAATCGATTTTTTCATGCTTCTACAGCAGTTTACATGTAGTTTACGGCCATTTTCTACTGGCCAGAGTGAGAGCCTATAGACGGCTGTCACGAATAGGCAGGAAGATTCTATTGGCCAGCGTGAGAGCCAACAGCTGACTGACACGAATGTTAACTAGCATGCTAGCATGCAAAAAAAAACACAAAAAAACCGACAGCTGCATTCGTTACAAGTGGGAAAAATTTAAATCTGCATGGCACTTTACTCCAATTGGTTCATTCGCTTGCTTAAACTCAACGTTGATTCTGATTCCGCAGAACTGGGTTGGGTGTGAGAAAGTATTTGTTGTTAACATTCTTTTTTTCATTCGGTTTTTCCAGTTACGAGTCCTTTTTTAAAGCTGATCGTTTTGTGTTCATTTTGTTTAGTTCTTTTTTCGTAACAGATTTAATGTTAATATAGAGCTTAGAAAAAAATCGCAGTGTCAGATAGGCAAGAAGTAAAGCATGTAGCAACATCAGCACGGCAAACGGCACTCCTTTAAAAAAAAGGCAAGGAAGGGCAAAAATATTTTAAGTCAAGTGATAGCGATTGCTGTATGAGTCGTACGATTTTTGAATCAAGCACAGGCAACGACGGGCCATGCTGCTAGTATATATATATATATATATATATATATATATATATATATATATAAAAAGTGAAAGTGTTGGAGACCATTTATATTTTCTCTGTGTAAGCAGGAAGATTTCGTACTGGGCCTCCAACTAATTTCCATCTAAGCAATATCTCCCCCCCCAATAGATATTGTCCATCTTTTTAGTGATAATTCTGTTTAAATTTATTAACTTCGATTTAGCTCTGTTGATTGAGGTTCAAAACCGGTTAGCTAGCTCGTTTTTCACTCTTTATTTATTATCATCACAAGTTGTAATAAAAATAAATTTATCGTTTCATAGCGGACACACACACACACTCACACAGACACACACATACACACTCACACACACACACACGCACACATATATATATATATCGGATTATGCGAGGATAAATCGGAGAAATAAGCGAATCTTCAACATGTCTCGACAAATTTAATTAAACAATATTTTTTATTTTTCTTTCAAACTGAAAAAAAATTCAAAGATTCTTTATGGAAAAACTTCCCACAAAATATTTTCTGTATCTTTTTTTTTTACAGTACAACCTAATGAATTACATTAGTATAGGAGAAACTGAAATGAGTTTACATGTGCAAATGTGTGTGACACGGATATACGTTGTTTTATGTATGGGTAATAATTTTCAGCAGTCGGTCGCATAAAATGAAGTTAGACTGCTACTGTTGATGCACGTAAACTAAATTAGTCTGTTTTTATGTGTCAATATCGCTAAGCATTTTTTGTAATACTAGATACTCGAATAAAAATGTGAGAAATTAATTAAGGTTTGAGAATTTCAGTTTTGTAATACAAACGAATGGTCCCTGGTCAAAATTAACAGCAAAACTAAACTAACAAACAAAAATAGATCATTTTTATAATTAAAAATCGTCTCCGAAAAAAAAAAAAAATTAGATTTATTAATCTCAAGTTTATTGGTTAATAAATATTTTCCCAATCTTTAAATATCCATTTTAAGGAAGGAAAATATTATATTGTTGATCATATTCTAATGTGATTCTCCAAGCGGACAGTATCAAGTGGTCACCCATCTACTTATTGACCCGGCTCGACGTTTAACTTCGGTGATCGTACGCGAACCAGTTTTCCAACGTGAAATGGCCGTAAGCCTACAATTTTTGTATATAATTAAAACGAAACTAAAAATAAAACTACCCTTTAAATATGTTTTCTTTATATTTGTTTGGTGTGAACATTCTTGCAAAATCTTTCCTCGAACAGAATTTTCAGAAAAATTGTTCTATCAATCTAATTCATGGTTCATGGGGATATACATTTCGCGTAAACATTTATTAAGTTAATATTAAATAAAACGTAACATTCTTCTAATAGATACCTGCTGGTTGGCATGCTGTGTTACCGAACATCTCCAACCCACCCCAACGTGAATGAAACAGCTATTGTTTAAGTAACACTCTTTGACGAGAAATTGATTTTGCCAATTGACAGGAATGTCACAATTATTCCCTGATGTGACCTTTACCATTCCCAACCTTGTTCTACTGACTGTGAACCTTTTATTGAACCATTTCATCAAACACTGGAGTCACCGAAAACGATGACAAGTGGAGCGGAATATTCCTCAAGCTCCTAAATTTAAAGGGTTACGAAATAAAATGCAAACGGTTCACCAACACCTTCATGAATTTTCAGGAAACAGCCATTAGATGACGTCATATATGCAAGTGACAACGTTGATGCATGTGTCAACGTGTCAGCTAGCAGTTTCTTCACCCCAGGGAACATTATTTTCAACTCGACCGCCTAAAAAAAAATGTTTTTAAATATGTAAAACAGCTAGTTCTGTCATAGTTAAAACTATAAATAAAAATTAAGGTATTCTTAAGCCACATGCAATGCATCCGTTGTAGAAATATCTATCATTGGTCTTCAGTTTTACGTCTGCACATAATTTTCATACATACCCGTTACTTTGGGGTACTTCGACGTGATGTAGTGGTTAACAAGCTCGTTTTGCGTGATCGATTACGAATGAGTTATATTCTCACTGGGCACTCCGTACTTTCGGCCTTGTGCCACATCTAAGCTACGCTTATTAAATTGAGATTTCGATATAAATTTACTTGATATCTAACATATGCAAAAATGTATACTTTATTTATTAATACTTGTTGATCTCAGAAGTGTTTTAACAGAGGACGGAAAGTGTGACACTGAAATCCGAAGACGCATTGGGATAGCCAAAGATGCATTCCAAAAGCTAAGCAGAGTATTAAGAAATAGGAAAACTTCACTCGAAACAAGGAAATGAGTAATAAACTGTCCTTCTGTATGGCAGTGAGTGCTGGACGATCTTCTCAAAGATGAAGAGGAGACTTGATATATGGCCCTACAGAAGGATGCTGAGGATACCGTGGACCGAACAACGAAGTTTTAGAGAAAAAATGAAAACATAAAGGGAAATTATAGTGAACATCAGAAAGTGGTAGTTGTGCTTTCTAGTGCACATAATGAGAAAGAAGGGCTAGGGAAATCTGATACTCACAGGACGGATAGAGGTAAAGAGTGACAGAGGGGAAAAAGCGCATGATATTCTTGAGTAAATGGATGGTGGAACAGGGTTTAAGAGAAATAGCAGAAATACAATTTTTATTAAGAGGTACATGGGACAGGAAGTTGTGGAGAGCCATGAACGCCTACGTCTTGGAGGATACGGCACAAATAGAAGAAGAACGTCTACTGACCTACTTTTGAGATGGTAGGCTTCTTCTTCTTCTTCAGTAATACATAATTTTATATGAGAAATACCAACAATACATATTTAAAGTAAAATTACCAACCATTCGTTTTTTCGTTAGTTGAAGTTTGCGTCAAAAATATATTTATTTGAAGCTATAAAGTTATGTTCAAATATTTCGATTTCGGTATTAAATGACCCATAAGGAGTTGATATGCCATTAAACAAATAAATCAATCAACGCAATCAATATTCTTCTTCTATGTACCCTCCCCCGTTCAAGAAGAGGGGGTTCGCAGCTGTCCACAACTTCTAATCTTATATAGCTCTTTTTTTTCTTACAGTTTTGGTTTACCACTGCTGTATTCTGGTACTGAACTCACAACTCTTTGGGTCTAGTCACTGGAATTAACCAACGCATTTACCTACTTGGTCATGAAGAAGGCCGGAGCGTAAAACAGCTGAAACGTTATGGATATGGCAACGAAGATCAGGATAGCAGTCCGAATAATGTAAATATCTCAGAGATATAGAAAGATATTGAGGAAAAATTCCAAACATCCGAAGAAGGCCGAGGCGCAAAAAGGCTGAAACTTTGTGAATATGGCAATGAAGATCAGAAGAACTAAATAATGTAGCTCACCAGGACATTTGCCATGGAAATATCGATAGAGAGAGGCTTAGCTGTAAAGGTCTGAACTGGTGGAACTAAAGAATGTAGCTTATCAGGACATTTGCCATGGAAATAGCGACAGAGAGAGGCTTAGCTGTAAAGGTCTGAACTGGTGTAACTAAAGAATGTAGCTTATCAGAACATTTGCCATGGAAATATCGATAGAGTAGAGAGAAGCTTAGCTGTAAAGGTCTGAACTGGTAGAACTAAATGATATAGCTTCTCTGGACTTTTGCCATGGAAATAGGGACAGAGAGTGACTTAGCTGTAAAGCTGAACAAGTTGAAGTAAAGAATGTAGCTGTTCAAGACATTTGCCAGGAAAATAGCAATATGAGTTGAGAGAGGCAAGTGACATTTCATCTGCGGGATAGTTGTAGTACAAAAATAATTCATCAACCATAATGCTTTTGAAGTCTTTCAATATTAGAAATAGAAGATTGACTGCCTCCAGCTCGGATATCGCAGCATGGCCTATTTTTGGTCTGATCTGTTTCTTGTAAATGCTAAGCATGGCAGGAGTAGTCGGGTATTTTCGGGGGTATTACAAGGAACTGACCATATTTCCAGCATCTTTAGTTTGTGGAATAAAGACAAATAGCGAAAGTAAACGTTTCAAATTCAATTTAGAACAACAAAATACACGATCATCTGAATACATATCTTATATGTGGTATTGTAAATATACTATTTACACTTTGCCAGCTGTTGTTCTGATCTTTATTTTCATATTCTCAACCTTTCGGTCGTTGTACGCTTCGATCTTCTTCAGGTGATATTTGTTTGAATTTCGAACCGAACCCAGAAGAGTTACAATATTTGAAAGCGGTGGGTGGACGAAATGGAACAGGTTCTCAGTGACGTTACTTCGGGGCCCAGCAATATTGAAGGTTATATGTCACCCCATTTCATGAAATAAACATGGAAAGATCGTCTACGCAGACGTCATCCGACCAATCTTCAGAAACGCCAACATACAGGTTGACTATTCTGAGTTCGGTTCGAAATTCAAATATCTCCGGAAGAAGGCCGGAGTGTAAAACGGTGGAAACGTTATGAATGTCACAATAAAATTAAAGACAAGCAGTCCGAACAATGTAAATAATTGTAAAAAAAATTTAGGAAGTTGTGGAGAGTCATGATCATGACAGGAAATTATACATAAAAGGTTAGGACTCTAGAAGTGGGGATAACGAAAATGCAAATATTTTAACAAACTGTAACTAAAGTGAGATGGTGCGATTATGTGTGTGTGTGTGTGTGTGTGCGTGTGTGTGTGTGTGTGTGTGTTTGCGCGCATGCGCGAAATAGTGAGAGAGCCGTCCAAGAAGTAATAACTGCGCCTTTGAGCAGGCAGTGCAATTGTATATGGATATCGCTGTATATGATTTATACGCTTGGGACATTTTAATTTGTCACTGTTCAGATAGGTTCAATAAACACAAAGATGAATGCATTCTACCAGGGAAATAAACGCGTTCCCACCAGTACATAAATATGTGTACATAACTTTCACATCTCTCCCTCCCTCCATCTCTCCCTCCCTCATCTCTCTCTCTCTCTCTCTCTCTCTCTCTCTCTATCTATCTATCTATCTATCTATCTATCTATCTCTCACTTCCTCTCTTTAACTTATTTATTTGCCGGTTATTCTTTCAAATACACACATTCTCTCAATATCGTTATTTTTTATTCTCTCTCTCTCTCTCTCTCTCTCTCTCTCTCTCTCTCTTTCTCTCTCTCTCTCTCTCTGTGCTTCTCACTTCCACTTCACTCTGTCAGTTTTCTTTGTCAGTCTTTCTTTCTCTCTACCTCTCTCTGCATTTACTCCTTTACTTTCTCTTGCTATCTCTCTCTATTTTTCTCTCTCTATATATGCTTCCATTTTTCCTTTGCTATTTTCTTTGTCAGACTCTCTTTCTTTCTTTCTTTCTTTCTTTCTTTCTTTCCCTGTCTCTCTCTGTCTCTCTCTCTGTCTCTCTCTCTGTCTCTCTCTTTGCATTTCGGTTCACACTCCTTTAATCTCTATTGCTATCTCTATTTCTCCCTGCTACTTTATTTTTATTATCTCACACGAGCAATCTCTCTCTCTCTCTCTCTCTCTCTCTGCTTCTCTATGTCCCTTAATTTCTTTTCTTTTCTTCTCTAACTCTTTCTCGCTTTCACTTTCTTTTTTCTTTTGCCAATCTCATACAGACACTGATTCTCGCTATTACTCTCTCAAGTTTCAATTCACTCTATCTCACTCACTTTCTCTCTCTGTCCTCCTCTCTCTCTCTTTGCTTTCGATTCACACACTCTCTCTTTCTCTTTCTCTCTCCCCCCTCTCTCTCTCTCCCTCGTTCAGCCAGCCGGTACACTTTCTCTTCTGTTTATCCCTCACTCTCCTCCCTTTCTGCTCTTTGCTCCACACATACACACACACTTTCTCTGTACCTCTCTCACTTTCTCTTTATCTCTTGTGTAGAAATGGCGGTCTATCAGAAATATTTTCTAATTCCCGACCATACTTGTGAATTCTCACCCATAAAATATTTTCAGGTTTCTTCTGTGCACTGAAGGAGAAAAAGTTCACAAAGTGAAGCTGCCAAGCGATTTATAATCCGGCAAGGGCACCACGCGGCGTTCAGATCAGAGCTCACAATTCAACGAGTGACAACCATTTCTGTCTATGTGTATGGCTGTATGCGTATGTGCTTGTTTGTTTACGTGTATGTGTGTACACGTGTGTTTGTCTCTCTTTCTTTCTCTATTTGTCTATCTACTTCGCTTATTAATAGTTCTATTCGACTCTCTTAGATATTTTCAAAATATTGTGGAATATAGAGCTCGGAAAATGTGTTACGCGATTATTTCAGTGGGCGACAAATGAATCTCAGATTTTCTCTTCATGCATCTTTCTTACTTCCTCTCCCTCGGCCCCCCCCTCTCTCTCTCTCTCTCTCCCACTCGATTTTCTTCAATCTTAATTTTCTCTCTAGTCAGTTCTCAGTCTGACCACCTCAACTTTTTGCACAATCTCTTTTCACTTCCTTCAAGTGAATATATATATATACACAAACAAATTCAAATATTCCCATATATATATATATATATATATATATATATATATATATATATATATATATATATATATATATATATATATAAACAAATGTTTGGAGGTACAAAATTTATAAATAGTTTTAAAAAACTAGGAAACCATTGATTTTAATATTAAAAGTCTCTAGAGCCCTTTCAGCCAACATCTCATCAGGAGACAATCGTTGGATTAGCAGAAATGAATAATAGCGATATTGAAGAGCAAAAAGAGGGGAAACACACTAAAATAACGAACAAGTATATATACTTGTAACGAGGGAAGGGTTATCGTGTAAATAAATAGCGAGGGACAGTTAAAATAAAATATCCCCAACAGATTCAGAGACCTTATAAATTCTTTCTGCCGGCAGAGAGAAGGTTTTCTAAATCTATACAGACCGATTCCAAAATCTTCAAATGATTATTGAATCGGCTGTATGAACAATTCTAAACCACTCTTTTTTTTTACAACTTGGCATTAAGCTATATTCTCAACTAAATGTTGAGCAATAGCCGATTCCATATTCATGGGGGAAGATAGCATATTCTATCTATCTTACCAAGTCGTATTTTTGGAAGGAACGTGCTGATTAATTCTAGTTTCCAAATGCTAGTTTTTAAAAATATATATATATATATATATATATATATATATATATATATATATATACAGAGAGAGAGAGAGAGAGAGAGACACACACATTGGTGTCATTATTGAAGGATGAGATATGTATCAACACGCAATTTTCTCTCGTCCTTCAATAATGACACCAAAACCTTACCCGCAAATATGACAGGATCTTATTGAAAGTAAGTAGACAGAACATGTCTAAATTATTTAACGAAACATGTCTCATATATATATATATATATATATATATATATATATATATATATATATATATACATTATGAAATGGGCTAAATTCGACAGTTATTTTAATATATTTATTCAGTAGATATGATCGTTCGAGAGAAATCATGGGAAATTTATAGTTTATAAACAGTAAGTTCACCTTGCTAACCAGACGCTTCCTATGCAGCCAAATGGTATAACTCGTCAGGCTATATGACAGGTCTGTATAGGGTACAGGTTCGATTCCTGTCGGAAGACATTCAGACCGGTAAATGTTGTTAATACTATTTATTATAAAGCATTTACTTAAATATTTTATAAATAAAAATATTTAAGTAAATGCTATCGAATTTAGCCCATTTCATAATGTATATATATATATATATATATATATATATATATATATATATATATATATATATATACTGGGTTATATCTAAAAAGGAACCACTAAACGAAGTGAGTTTAATTTTCCCAGGTTTTCTGATAAGACGTTTAGCCATCTTGACACAATTTTTCGTAAGAATCATTGAAAAACCCGTTTAGTTATTCAGCTAAAAAGAGAGGAGTTAAAATCGTTTTGCGTCAGACCCACTGTCTTCCCAATTGACCAATGGTGTGTGGAAAAGGATCATCCAGGCCTTCAGTAACGGGAGCAACATTCATATTCCGTCTTCCATCTTTAATGTCCATTCAAGAACTATCAATAGAACGGCGAATCCGTATTAAAAAAGAGGGAATAGTAGAGAGGAAAACTTGATCAGGTGGTCACAACAGCAAGAAGGATCATCATTTCAGCTTAGAGCTAAAGAGATCAATTAGAAAAGATCCAACTCAATTTATAAGACGTTTGGCTCGTGAGAGAGGAGTTTCAGCTATGACAACCCAAAGAGCAGTGAAAAAAGACTTGAAATTAAAATCGTACGTGAAAACTGTGAGGCACCTCATTGAAAGTTGGAAGGTTAGAGAAAGCAAAAATCACCTTAAATAAGTTTGGAAATGATATATATATATATATATATATATATATATAGATAGATAGATAGATAGATATAGTGATATGTGTGTGTGTTTGTGTGTTTCTAATGCTTTTAATTTAATTGCAAAATTAAATTCAGGGTTTTTAGCTTCTATTTTTGAAACATGGTTGGAACTGTGTAAACATAAAAATCAATTATTTATAAAATTGATTTAAAATTTATAATATTAATGCTCTGTAAATTTACATTGAGCACTATTTTGTAAAAATAAAAAATATCTATAAGAACACCGGATTTTATATCTTACTGTTCTTTCTTTTTTATTTATATACATATGTATATATATATATATATATATATATATATATATATATATATATATATATATATATATATATATATATATATATATATATATATATATATATATATATATATATATATATATATATATATATATATATATATATATATATATATATACATATATGAAATTCATTTCAATACTTCATGAATTTCTGATCCTTAGTTAATTAATGATGAACATTTTTTTATGATTGATTTCATCACGACTTTTCTGTTAAGCTTAGATAGTAATTATACATTCTGATTGCCCAAAGTAGTGTTCAATATTGTTTTAAAAACCTCGCAGAATTCCAGTAAGATATCATTAATCATTTCAATGATACAATGGTTCAAACCGTAATCTATCAATTGAATAGTTTTGGACACCCGGTATATATATATATATATATATATATATATATATATATATATATATTTAAATGTTTAAAAAAATTAAAAAATTAAATGTTTAAATTGATAACATTCATCATTTTTTAGACATCTAATTTTCTATCAAGCATTGAAATCTATCTTTTACATAATTTTGTTAAAACAAAATTACAGCCGCTTTTGATTCACTTCCCTCCCCTCGCTTTTTTGCCGTAACACTCATTTAGATATATCTGTATTACTGTTGTCTGTCTCCTCTCTCCTTTCCATTTTTCCTTTTATTTCCCCCCACTACCCCCCCATTCCTATATATCATTTCCGTTAAGTTAACCATCTAAAAAGGTCACGGTTCGGTCACTCCTCCTACCCCAATATAAAGCATGCTTAAGAGAAATATGAAATTAACCCCTCCCTATACTCTACCTTGTCTCGTTAACTACAACTATCACCCTCCCTCTGTTAAATTACAAAAATTACACTACCCATCAATTTCTAATCCCATTTTTTCTTTCATTTCGTTGTTGGAATTGTTACCTGATGATCCGGAGTCCTTTAAAAAGGATTTTGGTGAAATAAATTATTGTAATGGTACTTTAAAGTGGTCTGTTTTTCATTAAATATATATATATATAAGCAAGTGTAAATGGATATAAATCCGACAGAATGAAGAAATTTTGAAAAAAACAAACAAAAATCCTTAAATGTAGTTAAAATGAAAGAAATGAAAGCGTCGCCCATGTGACGACGGCGTGACCATGTTAGACGGAAGGCTGATCATTTTAAAAATTTTCAGTTATCTGTTCTGAATAAGACTTGTGTTTTTATGTCCATCGTATTTGTCATATTGAACTGAATTGTATTTTGATGAATATTGTCTTGAAAGTTTATTAAACCGAAACGTCAGACGTCGACATTTCTTTCATTTTAACTACATTTAAGGATTTTTTGTTTGTTTTTTTTTTCTTCATATATATATATAT